CCACTCTGCTGGAGAAGTCCCATGAAGCCTGGCTCTGACTTGAGCACCCCCTTGCTTAGTGGTTTCCTGCATGGAGTGAGCCTGGACGTGCAGAGTGGATCATCTGCTCTGGCTCCAGAAATTCTCCATCATAAACTTAAGAGAACATGTAAATCAATGGATGTGTAACTGATGTGATTCTGCAATCTGTATACGGGGTAAAAATGGGAGTTCATAACCCACTTGAATCAAAGTGTGAAATATGATATATCAAGAACTATGTAATGTTTTGAACAACCAACAATAAAAAATTTAAAAAAAATAAAATACTCTAAAAAAAATAATAAAATAAACTTAAGAGAAGGGATCCAGTAAGTAAAAGCTGATGAGGAAGAAAAACAGAGAGACATGGGTGTGGAGTCGATGGGAGGGGAATGAGAAAGCCGATACCTTCTGTGTCCCCATTGCTGCTCCAGTGTTGTTTCAGTCAGCTTTTTTTTTTTTTTTTTTTTGCTGCTGTGACTCAAAGGCCTCACAAGAACAATATCAGAGGAGGAAAAGTTTATGTGGTGACTCAGGGTTTCAGAGGGCTCAGTCCATAGACAACCAGCTTCATTCCTTGGGGCTCAAGATGAGGCAGAACATCAGGGTGGAAGAGTGTGGTAGAGGGAAGAGGCTCACATGATGATTGGGCAGGAGAGAGAGAGAGAGAGAGAGAGAGAGAGAGAGAGAAGAGAGAGAGACTCCACTTGCCAGATGCAAAACATATCCCTCCAAGGCAGGCCCCCAATGACCCACCTCCTCCAGCCACACCCTCCCCACCTTCAGTCACCACTCAGTTAATCCCATCAGGGATTAAGTCACTGATTGGGTCAAGGCTCTCATAAACCCAATCATTTCACCTCTAAGCCTTCTTGCATTCTCTCATGCGTGGGCTTTTGGGGGACATTCAAACTCTTTGTGTCTTTGCTTTGTTTTTGTCTTTCTCATCTGTGCTTATCTATAAGTTTTGACATTTCCTCTCAAAACTTTATAGCCTCTTGCTTAATTTTTTTAAAAACATATTTTCTTCTTTTCCACCTTCTGTTTCTCATAAAGCACCCCTTGTCCCTTAGTTTCCTTTAATATGCAATTCATTTATGGAGTAATTTTTCTTCATTTTCAATTCTTCCCCTCTCCTATACCATGCAAGGGAAGGAACCCGGAGCTTCCTCTATGCTAAGTTAGTATCCTAACATACCAGCTCTCTGAAGTAATCCTTCAAAGGTTTCTTATTCATGACTCGGTTTTCACTTTTTCCCTAAGTTTTTCTAATTGGTCGATGATGTCAGTTAATATCTTACACATTCTTTTCTTCTTTCTCTCAATATTTTTTTTTTAAGGTAATAAGGGTTTAACCCAGCAGACTCTATCACTGAGCTACACTCCCAGTATTTTTATTTTTGTTTTGAGACAGGTTCTTGTTAAGTTGCTGAGGCTAGCCTTGAACCGGCAATCCTCCTGCCTCAGCCTCCCACGTCATTGGAATTAAACCACCTGGTTTCTATCGTTTCTTAATGCCTTACACCTTGTTTTTGAAAGAAATACATTGTAGTACACAAAGTGTATTGAGAAGAAGTGCTTTCATTTTCTGCAATGGTGTTATTCTGCAGTTATTCCTCCCCTCCCCCCACCATTGTTCTGCATTAATTTTTTTCCTTTTTCACTCTTTGGGTAAATTTTACTTAATTAGTTGATGAATTTTTGCCTAGTAATTAAATTCATCTTTTAACTGGGATATAAAAACATAAAATTGTACACATAATGGGGTAAAATGATGTTTCAATGCATATATACACTGGATAATGTCACTTTTAAACCAGGAGAAGCATATTCATCTCCTAAAGCAATTATCATTTCATTATGGTAAAACCAATAATTTTGGTTATGGTAAAACCAATAATTTTTTTTCTCTTTTAGGTACTGGGGATTGACCCCAAGGACACTCCTGAGCTACAGTTACAGCCCTTTTTACTTTTTATTTTGTCACCCATGCTGGCCTCAAACTTGTAATCCTCCTGCTTCAGCCTCCTGAGTCTAGGATTACATGTGTGCCCCACTGTACTGGGCTAATTTTTTTTTTACATGATATTTGTTTTCTTGAACTCATAGAGAGAATATGATTTATGTAATTTTTCTAACTTTGCATGGACTGCCTTCTCTCCTGTGAAATGCTAAAACACACAATTGGTTTCTTTTCTGAAGATTTCCTGGCTCTATGTTTCTCCCTACTTTCTTAGGGTCTCTTCTCTCATGACCACTACTGTGACTGTGTGTGGGAGACCAACCTTACACGTGACTGAGTCACACTCCCCGGCTGGGTGTTGAGGTGCTCAGCTGCAGAAATGTGGCAGAGCTTTCCCCACCCTTCTTGGGTTCGAGGGTCAGTGTCTCGTGCATGGGTATGTCTTGCTACAGCCCAATGGGTGAAGCTATGCTCACCTGTTCCTTTGTAATATAACTCCTTTTCCTGTTAAGGATAGAATCTTCCATGGAAGTGCCTTGTGTGTGTCCCCTTCTCTTACTGTGCCCTTGGGTGTGGCCTACCCAGGTGTCAGTGAACTTGCTGACAGTGGACATCATGAAGATAGACTCAGCCCCCTGAAACCTGACCCCTTGCCTCATTTGAATAGCTTCTTCTCAATAAAGGGGTCAGCACATGCTCTCCCTCTCTCCTCTTTCTGCAGACCCTTAAGGTCAGAGGAGCCATCACAGCAACCCCAAAGAAAAGGGTATTTGTGTCTCTCGTGTGGTTATTTTGTGCAGCCCAGTTAGCCCAGTTCAACTGGAGTAACCCCTGAGCCTTTTAGATGCGAGAACAGAAATCCGGCAACTGTGTCCTGCCTTGAGTCTGCCCCTCAGCAGAGGGGGAACTATATAACAGCTCAGAGGGAATTGCTGCCACTGTTTTACCAAAATCTATTTATTCCCTCTAAATGGTGTGTGCTTTCTGATTCAGTTAGCTTTAAAGTTATTTTTGATTATATGCATCTTTTAAAACTATTTCATCTCTGTGTTACTTTGTTTTTACTGATCTTTTATGCCTAAGAATTTTATTCTGATAATTAATTTTTAGATTATTATTTACTTGTTTATGCATTATCTTTGTTTTTAATTTATATTTGAGTCATTTGACTTCAGAGTTGTTTTCATTTTATTGATATTTATTTATGGTGCTGAGACTAGAACCCAGGTGTGCTTTATATCTGTTATATTCCTAGTGCCTATGCCCCCGCCAACCCACCTTGAATTCCTGATGCTCCTGCTTTAGCCTCCACATCACTGGGATTACAGGTGAGTGCTACCATGACTGGCTGTGTTTGCAACTCCACAGGCCCCTTCTCTCCAAGGCGCTCCCTTTCTTGTTCCTGAGAGCCCAGGAGTGACAAAAATCTCTATTGCTGTTGCTTATACCAGGATCCTGCTCTGGGCTTTCTCATGCCCTTACACCCAAACATACCCTGATAATTTTTCTTTTCTTTTCTCCAGTACTAGAGATTAAACCCGGAGGAGCTCAACCATTAAGAAACATCTCCAGACCTTTTTATTTTTTATTTTGAGAAGGGTCTCCTAAATTGTGCAGTCTAGGCTCTAACTTGTGATCTCCTGTCCCAGTCTCCCATGTTGCAGGGATTATAAGCATGTGTCACTGCATCCAGACAAACATTGGTTCTTCAGTAAATAAGCACTCTGAAAATATACCAACTTAAGTGTACTCTCTACAAAGTCCATACCTTTGGTGAAAGTCATGCAAGGGATACCCCTAGACCCTGGCTCACCAGTCTTGAAGATGTGTTCTCCACGCTGGGAACCTCCCTTTCAACCAACCACAGTGGGGCAGGGCAGCTGATGCCTCTAAAATGTGGCCTCCAAGGAAAAGTCAGACAGGGCCTGTGGCCTCTAGTGGGAAGAACAAACTCTTGTGGTCTTTCTCCAGATCTTGGTGTGAAATCCTCCTCAGGTTACTACCTACATGACCTCAGACAAGTAACTGAACCATCCAGATCTGTAAAAATAGATTGCACCTGGCTAATAGAAGTGAGTGCTGAGGTGGATCCCAGGTAGCAGGGAGTGGGGCTAAAGCTGTGATCCAGTAGGTCTGCAGAGAACACTAGGTGTGGGAGCCTGCCTGCACTGTTAGAGGAGGCCTGAGGGACTTGGGCAATCAGATAACCCCAAGCTTCCCACGGGAACATGCCTGTTAAGGGACAAGGCTGAAGTTTGTGTGTGGGTGAACACCAGGCCAGGCGGCATGAGCCACCCTGGGTGGAAGATAAGTGGCAACGGGAACTGTGGGTGGCCAGTGCTCCAGGGGCCAGCTGAGTGCTACGCCAGCAAGTCCTGGGCCTTCTAAGCCTCAAACACACAAGCTGAAGCAAGCCCACAGGCACTGGGGCCCAGGCTGATGGTGTTGGGGGAGGGGATGTGGTGGGTACAGGGGCAACAGGGCTCCCAAGATTGCTGACCCAAGACACAGATCTCAGGGCCCTTTGCCCTTTACTTGAAACTTCTCCAGAAGAGCCTCTGTGACCTGTGGGCCTGGAAGACACTTGCTCATACTCAATGGGGGCAAATCATCCAGCTCCAGGATCATGAGAACTTCCCCCACATACTGGGGTTCCAACCCCTGCACTGTGGCTCCTTCTAGAAAACCACATACCCTTGGGGGCAAGACTGGGGCCTGAAGACAGTGACAAAACTCACATATGGCCAGCCCAGTCCCCTGGGTGTTCCCTCAGCTGTCCCTTCCTAGGGAGGAGTGAGGCCCTCTACCACTAAGTACCTTGAAGCCCAGAAGGGCATGAGGTATGGCACTGACAGTTTCAAAACAGGAGCCAGAAGTTCCTTGGGTTGTTTTTATTTCATCAGGCCTGGGCCTTAGATGGACAGGACAGCCCAGAGATGGAAGCATGGAAGGACAGTGCGGAGCTCAGCCAGGGGCCTTGTGGAGGAAAGCTGGGCGTGGACGTGCTGCGAGCCTGTCACTGAGCACTGACCAAACTCAGCCACAGCAGGAGGAACTGAGCAGACAGCAGCACAGTCATCCTGGGCTTCAGGACAGGGCTCAGAGCAGGCTGCTTTTGTGTAGATGAGGCCATGATGCTGCTGGGGGTGGGAGCCTCCTTCTGGTGCTGCTTGATCCAGTCAGCGAAGTAGCTGAGATTGGTGAAGACACTGGGACCAACGGGAAAACGGCATTCTGCGCTCCAGCTGGTCAGTCCAAACAGGTACCAAACACCGTCCAGCGGGCAGACAAGGGGACCCCCAGAATCTCCCTGAGGAGAAAGACAAAGGACATGGGTAGTAGGACCAAGACAGGCAGAAATATGCATTGCCCAGTATGAAGAGGACAAGGTGGACACGAGAGGTCTCCTGGCTGTCTTTGCAACTCCAAAGGACCCTTCTCTCCAAGGCTCTCCCTTTTCTTGTTCCTGAGAGCCTAGGAGTGACAAAAATCTCTGTTGCTGCTGCTTATCCCAGGATCCTGCTCTGGGCTTTCTCATGCCCTTACACCCAACCACACCCTGATAATTTTTCCTTTTCTTTTTTTTTTTTTCAGTACTAGAGATTAAACTCGGAGGAGCTCTACCATTAAGAAACATCTTCAGAGTCATGTTCATCAGAACCACAGAGGTAATTTTTTAAAATCCAGGTACAGATGGCCGGGCGCAGTAGTGCACGCCTGTAATCCCAGTGGTTCAGGAGGCTGAGACAAGAGGATCACAAGTTCAAAGCCAGCCTCACAAATGGTGAGGTGCTAAGCAACTCAGTCAGACCCTATCTCAAAATAAAATACAAAATAGGGCTAGGGGTGTGGCTCAGTGGTCAAGTGTCTCTGAGTTCAATCTCTAGTACCCAAATAAATAAATAAAATCCAGGTACAGGATAAACCTCCTGGATCAATATCTCCAGGCCAGGACCCTAGAGACCCATTCCACAGCTGACAGTCACAGACCTATGAGAAGCACTGGGGGATGCTAGTAGCCACAGTGTGCCCTCCACCTTTTCATCCACATGGGAGATGGCTTTGAGGTCCATGGGGTGGCTGGCCTGGAGGCCTGGCCCAGGGACTTTGGTTAAATCCTCTGTCCAGCAAGGCATCTATGCCTTTGTCTTTGACTTAATAGGTCTCTAGCATATCTTCATTTCCTTAACTGAGCTTCTTTAGAAAATGCCAAGCTGTTGAATGTGCTAAGGGTAAAAGAGGTGCTGCTTGGCCCAGTCTGGGGCTCAGTTGGAAACACACAGAGTTCCAGGGTCTTCAGAAGAATGCTGGGTAATGTTAAATATGGCAGGGCCCCAGAAGGGAAGGTCCCTTTTTAAAATCACAGGTGAAATGGCTTTATCTCACAAGCCAAAAATAGGAGCTCAAAGAAACATATTGCCTTCCAGCTGTCTGTTGAATAATACCCCCTGGGGAGTCTCTATGCAAGCAGTGCTTGATGTGACAAGACCACATGTCCACACACCTGCACATATAACATGTGGAAAGGGGGCCACACAGGCAACAGGAAGAGTCCCAGAAGGTCTATACTAACTGGATCATTAGAGAGCTTCTCTGAGGAGACTGGAGGAGCAGTGAGGCCTGAGTGTGGTTAGAGACAGGCAAGGACATGGAAATTCTCAGCAGGGAGGTGAAGGGACTGTGTGCAGATTCTGAAAGGATGTTCTGGGGCTGCTGGGGTCAGACCAGCAGCAGGGCTCTGGAACTCTTCAGGATACAGCTGTGGAAGAAAGGAGGGGGGCAGTGTCTGGTGGGAAATGGTCAGCACACAGGATTTTCCATGTCTGATCCCCTCTTCATCCAGGTTCAAATGCAAGGCAAGAACAGCAGGCTGACCATTGAGAAAAGGTTGGGTTCTGGTGTCCAGAGGAGGGGTGAAGAGTGCAGGGGAGACAGGAGGGGCCTCCTGCAGCTTGTGACAGACAGAGTGAGAAGAGAGCAAGAAAGAGCACATGCAAACCTGCCAGAGGTGAGGCCTGCTGAGAAGTGAGGACTGAGTAACAGGAGGAAGTTGTGGGGTCAGGAAGTGAGCATGTGAGGAATACTTCTGAGCTGCAGGGACAGCCAGGAAAGAGCAAGAGCAAGAGGGAAAGCACAAGAGAGGGAGGGGAGGTTGCAGGAGTCGGGGGAACACAACTCTCAAGGGGGTCAGAGACTCTTCACGCTTAACTTAATGGCCATGCATCCTTAGAGTGCTGTCCACGTCCTCTCTTTAATTTCCTCACTATAAAATGGAAAGTTTACACAGAGAAAACATTCATAATATGTGCATCCAATGATGGACCCATATCCACAATATATATAAAGAGATCCTATGATTCAATGCAAACGACAGATGACCCCCACACTTCACAAAAAGGCAATAATATATGAAAAATAGTTTGTAATAGACATATAAGAATATTCATCTTCATTAGTTATCAGGTGCAGATCAAAAATCACATACAGTGGTGAAAATGAAAAGAGTGGATGATCCAGAGTACTGGCAAGCAACGTGCAGCAAACTGAACTCTCACTCACTGCTGATGGGAGTATAAATGGACACAATCATGAAATAACAATCCACTACCAGGGTGATCTCCAATCAAAATGGGGACCTAAAGCTCACACACACAGGATGTTCACAGCAATGACATTCACAGAGAGCCCAAATGGAAACTGCCCCCAATTCCACCAATACGAGAAGGGATAAGTAGATATGTGTGCTTACACAGTGGAATGGATAAATGTCACTAGCATATTGGTGACTAAAAGAGACCAGGCAAAAGCCCTCATCACATCTGATTTGCATTCAGGTTAAGTTTAAGAACAAAGCCATAGCACCTTATAAACTAGGAGGGGGCTATTCTGGAGGAGTTAATGACAGGAAGGGGCAATGAGTGGGACCCTGTGGGTGCTGCTATATGAATATATCCCTTTCTAAAAATTCATCAAGCTGTTCAAGTTATATCTCCTCTTTTCTCCATGCTACACTTTGACAACATTTTTAAAAAGATACAAAGAAAATGGATGGGATATTAACGGTGCTCTTTAGGGGCTCTAGGTACAAAGAAGACCCAGGGGGAGGGAACACAGCAGCAGAGAGGTGGCTGAGTCCAGCTGGAGACTATGAGTTGGTTCACTTACCCGGCAGATGGATGTTCCATTCATGGGGTCCCCAGCACACACCATGTCGTCAAATACACCAACAGATTTTGAGCCAGTTGCGTTGGGGTCTGAATATCTATAATAGGCGTTACAGTCCTCATTGTCTAAGAGACTGACCTCTGCCTCCTGAAGCGTTATAGCAGGTGGCAGTGATTCTGTGGGAGAGGATTCAGATGTGAGGTGCAGCCCAGGGCAAAGCCAACTCCCTCTCCTGCCTGCTTGCTGATGGAGGGTGCCCACTCTAGCTGGCAGGGGCTGGGAAGGCCTCCCAGTTGAAGGCAAGACCAGGAGAAAAGGTGTTCTCAAGAGCTGTGGTAAGGGGTCTGTGTGGAAAGGACCAGGACAGAGGTCAGTGTGACTGCAAAGGCCCAAGAGCAGGGACTTGAAAAGATGAGACACAATCATAGCAGGGCCCAGAACAGGCAGCGTCTTCCTCACCAGTCTGTGGAATTGGGATTTTATCCCAAGCACACTTCAAAATAATAGAAACATTTACTTATGTTTCAGAAACAATTCTTCTGGCTGCTGTGGAGACAGTACTGGAGGCAGCAAAGATGGGAACTGGGACTCTCAGTCTGACTAAGATGCAGCAGTGGCACGTTTCACGGGTGCCAATAAGACCGGCCCCATCTCAAGGAGCAAGTGGACTTGGACAACTGGATTCTATTTCCAGTTGTCACTCACACATGTGGCCTGGGGTCCCCACTTAGGAGCACAATGCTAGGATGATGGCTTACTTGGCATAGTGCTTGCTATCTAAGGCCCTGATGGGTGGCAAATCCCAGACCTGAGTTCAGGCCAAGCAACTGTGGTCAGGCGAGGGCCTGGAGAAAGGACACTGAGGGCCCACTGATGTCAGCTACTCTGTGCCCTCGTGGTTGCCCCAGCCCATGACTTCCCTTCGTGCTCCAACTATTATCTAGACCCATTTTGGAGATCCTCCTTGCCTTGCCAGTGGTTCTTGGAAAGCGACAATACATCCCAGCAGGGGGTCCTTGGAAATGTTGAAGTGTTAGCTATTCTCATGATTGACATTTAGAGACCAAGACCAGGGATGATGATTCTGACCTCAACCCCAAAGAAGTTCCTGTCTCCAAAGCTTATGCAGAGATGTTCTTCCAGATAGTAACCCTATGAATCACGCCAAATTTACATTTTGCTTTTTTTTTTTCACTCACCAGTATATTTTCCTAAATCAAAAGCATTCACTCTTGTGTAAAAATCTTTGCTTGACATTCTCCCTCTCAACCTAAAACTACACAGTCAGCCGGGCATGGTGGTGCATGCCTGCAATCCCAGCGGCTCGGGAGGCTAAGGCAAGAGGATTGCAAGTTCAAAGGCAGCCTCAGCAATGGCGAGGCACTAAGCAACTCAGTGAGACCCTATCTCTAAATAAAATACAAAATAGGGCTAGACATGTAGTTCAGTGTTCCAGGAGTCCCTGAGTTCAATCCCCAGTACCAAAAAACAAAAAACAAAACAACAACAACAAAAAAAAACTCTACACAGTCGTCCTTCATATCTGCAGGGACCCCATACCAAAATTTCAAATGCTCAAGTCCTTTATTAAAAAAAGGTATAGTATATGCATAGAACTAATACTTTGTTATGCTCTAAATCATCCCTAGATTATTTGTAATACCTAACACAATGTAAGTTCTATGTAAATAGTTGTTATACTATATTGTTTATAGAATAATGAAAATACATATTACCTAACCCCCATTCTTCTCCCACCATTTTGTGTGTGTGTGTGTGTGTGTGTGTGTATAGGGGGAATTGAACCCAGGAGTATTTGAGCCATACCCTAGCCTCTTTTAAATTTTTATTTAGAGACTGGGTTTCACTAAATTGCTGAAGTTGGTTTTGAACTCGTGATTCTCCTGCTTTAGCCTTCTGAGCCACTGAGATTATAGGCATGGGCCACCGTGGCTGGCCCATCAATGATTTGGATCCACCATTGATTGAGTCCACAGATGTGGAACCTGCGGAAACTGGCAGAATAGGCAAGTTTTGCTTGCACTCAACGATGAGCAGTGAGGTTCAGAGAGGTAAATGTCCTTCAGCCATAAATGCCCCAGCTGGTCTTAGCCAGATACAGGTCCTTTTCTTATGGATACTCAACACTTTCCATAGCCATGAAAGATAAATCAGAACCTTGGAGTCAGAGCCCTGGAATTGAGAATGGCTCTGGAGTCAAAGAGCTCAAGTTTCTGATTCTGAAAGTAAGAGGTTTTTTTTGTTGTTGTTGTTTTCCTTCTTGTTTTTTTGTTTTGTTTTGTTTTCACAGTAGACTGAGGAATCTGTGAAGTTTTAGAAGGACAGGAAGGGCCTACAATGGTCTCCCAACCCCTTGCCCTCTTTTGCTTGCCTGCATGATCAGTTTCATCAACTGTCATCCCCCAGCCACTTATCCAGCAGGAACTCTTAGGGTCCGGCTTTGTGGAGCTCTCAGGGAGACAGGCAGGCAGGACGTGGGAGTTGAAATTCACAGGCACGTGCAGCTTCATCAAGGTGATGTCACTCCCTAAAAAGTGATGCTTGTCGAAGTCTGGGTGGACAATGAGCTGGCTCACTGCCATCTGCATGCTGTAGTTACTGGGATCAGTCATCCGGTTGTACCCTAGCAGGATCCAGTAGTCATCTGGGTTCTGGGACCTGTCGGGAGGCAGATGCTCTGAGTGCTGCACGGGCACCCTGGCTCCGACTGTCCACCCACCTGGCAGACAACCAGCCTCACCCCATCATTTCAGAAGTTTCTCTGGCCTCCTTTTCTAATACCGGGATAGCCCTTCTCTTGAGGTAAGTTTGATTCTGCCCACAGCCCTAGGATATTAGTCCTTTGAAGGCTTCTAATGGCTTTTCCAGCATGCCCCAGAATCCAAGGAGCAGAGGACCTTATTGCTAGAAAGAAACATATAGGGTACATCAAGTTGCGTTCCTTCATCTTGGAGGGGAAGAGATGTGTCGCATATTCATCCCTGATCAAACCCTCTTATGGCCCAACAGACTTCTCAAAGTCCCCACTTCCCAGGCCAGCATGACCCCTCCCTCCAATCCTCACATCATCCTCTCTACAAGCTGGCTGGCTCCAACCTGGGCACAGGCACTTGACAAGTCGTAGTGAAGGAAAAGGAGGAACACATGGAAACTTCTTGTTTTTGAAACCCCAGTGACCTTCCAGCCCACATGACACACTTGTGTGGTGCCCCTACCCAGACTCCTCATGCCTGGATCCTTCTCTCCAAAAGACCCTCCAGTTCCATGCTTTCACACTGGATGGAACCATGGTGCCCCCCCCTGACATGTCCTTAGGGTCTAATGTGGAAGTTGGGCTTGTGTCTCACTTTCAAGGTGGGTCTTGCATCTCCACATCTCCCATGTGGGCTTGGTACTCCTAGGTGCTGAATATAAGAATGGAACCCAGTTGGGATCTCACAGTCAGCTACTCCTACAGCTCTGACTTCTGGGATGAACTGTGGTGTCCTCCTTTTTCTCTCTGGTCACAGAGTGAGTCAGCCTCCTGATGACCTGCCTCACTCTCTCAGGGCAGAAACTATTTACTTATGCCTTATACTACCCTCAGCTCTTCCTAGGTACATATCACTACAGGAGCAGCAGGAACCCCTGGTGTTGGTTAAACAGGGTCCCAGGACAACTCCAGAGAGGAATGTAGTGGAATGTGCAGGTTGCTAGGACCTGGGTGAAAGACTCCACAGAAGGTGTGCCCTGAATAGCTTATGGAGAGCCCTGGCTAGAGGAGGCAAGACATCTGTCTATGTGGGCTAACCCCAATCCACCTGCCCTGGGAAACAGGGACCTGGGACTAGCATTCTAACACGTGGACCTGTTCTACACGTGTGGCCAGGGATAAGTTCACAGTCACTACCATTTGCACAAGAGTTAACTAAGGTCTGATGACATCTGCAGACACTGTCTAGGGGTGGGTAGGACACAGACTACAAAGTCCATCCTGAGAGGGATGAGATTTTTATCCCTAGTGTTTATGGAAAATAAAGAGTAGGGGTGGTCATTTTTGAACTCAAGTCTAATTTCCAGTATTTATTGGTAATCACAACCAGAGTGAATTAATTTCTAGTTAGCTATTTAAAAGTAACATGTGGGCCGGGTTGTAGCTCAGTGGTAGAGCACTTGCCTTGCGCGCGTGAGGCCCTGGGTTCAACCCTCAGCACCACATAAGTAAATAAATAAGATATCGTGTCCATCTACAATTAAAAATATATTTAAAAAAATAAAAATAAAAGCAATGTGCATGTCATGGTGACAACTACATCATCTTGGTGGGTTTACCAAAGTGGAAGTGGGGGTGCGGGAGTGCAGGGCATCCTTAGGGTGTAAGATGAGGTCCAAGGCCTCTGCTTGAAAGATGCCCACAAACAAGCAGGGATGGCATTCCAGGTAGAGGGCACATTGGGCCAAAGGCAGAGCAACAGCACAGGGACATCTGATGGCAGCAAACTATCCTAGAATAAAGCCTAAATAGGAAAGTCTCTTCTATCCTGCCCACCTTGTGCCTCCCTCCTGCAGTCCCTTCCTAATGGCTGGGGCCCCACAGAGGGAAATTGCACCTTTGGAAGCAGTGGGCTGCAGAGGCCACCCAGTTGCTGTCAATGAGGGCAGCTCCACAGACATATGTGCCATTGAGAAATACACTGGCCTGCCATGGCCACTGTTCAGGTTCTGCATTCTGACCACCAAAGATCTTCCCTGTAAATCTGGTCCTGCCACATACTGCGGAGACAATTCCAGACATGAAGTATCTGCATTCAGAATACCAGCCCTTGATGCCCCCACATATCAACTTCAACAGCACCTAGGGGACACCATGGCCCCTCCTCTCATTTCCCAGGTAGGAATATCCAAGGCCCAGGATGAAGTGACATGCATGGGTTCTGGCGGCGGGGGATATCAGCCTGATGCTGCATCTCATGGAAAAAGTAAGCACAGAGCAGAGGTCCAGGGAGGGTGGTGGGTCCTGAACTGGGCTCAGATCTTTTTCACCTAAGGAGCACAGCCCTATTTGAAGACAAACTGAAAACTGATAGAAGGGATGTTACTGTTCAGGGGTTAGGTTGCTTGACTGTGACCTCCCACCTCTGCTGGTTAAAGAGAAGGTGTGATAACACCCAGAAAAGCTAATGCAGGCCCTTGGCCCATGAACTGACATGAAATTCATTGCAGAAAAACTATAAGGGAAACAAGGCACCCTTTTAATATTCCCCTTTCCCAGGCCTTCTCAGTCCCCCTCCCATTGTCCCCTCTCCTGGTTCAGAGGCCTCCTGGCTGCTTACTTTCAGGACTCCTATAGCTAGATTTGGCCTGGCTGAGGTTATCCTAGGAAATGTCAGGGGTCGGGAGAAGGGATATGAGTTCTGCTGAAAGACGACTAGGGCCTGGCCCCTCTGAGGCCACCCCTTGCATCTGCCCGCTTACCCTCTGATAGGTTGGGCATGGTGTTTTGGGCATGCAGTGGCTGCAGACACAGGCAGAACAGGAGAGTAGCCAGCATACAGAGCCCCTGCCTGCCTTCGCCAGATAGTTTGATCCCGGTACTCGCCATGTGGTCGGTTCACATCTGCTTCGCGGATGAATCAGACAGCGCGCGCTCCTGTAGCAAACAGCTCGCTGGCAAACCGCCTGGGTCTGTCCAGGGGTTCCAGGGACCAGACCTCACCAGTGGCTGCCCAGTGCGAGAAGCGGCAAGCCGAAAGTGCAAGAGCCCCAGGGTTGCAGGAGACAATGATCACTGGGAGGCCCCAGATTGAAGGGAGAGACAGGGTGTTACAGGGCCCCTCCCTCTCACCTCCATTTGACTTCCTCCCCAATGCAAAATACACTCACCACGTTTTTCCACCCAAATTTCCACGAGTCCCATCCCAATATAACGTCCACTCAAAATGCAAAAATGTCATCGTCCACACCTAAAAATCACCACCTCATCAGTCCACAATGTCCTCCTCAAAATCCTCTAAATTCGGTGTGGATGAGTTTCCCCAGCAGTAATCTATTAAATACAGTTCTTGAGTACAATTCTTGAAATATTTCCAATTCAGGGCTTTGTGCAAGTTAGATAACTGCTGTACCACTGAGCTACATTCCTAGCCACCTTCCTTTTTTTTCCCCTCTATTTTCTTTTGATACTAAGTCTTGCTAAATTGACCAGTCTGGCCTAAAGTTGTGATCCTCCTGCCTTGGCCTCTGGAGTTTCTGGGATTACAGGTGTGTGCATCCATGCCCAGCCTACTGGTTCCTTTTTCTTTTTTCTTGCAACTTCCACCCACTGCCTAATTCCAAAGTCATTGAAATGTTTTTAGGTAAGTAGTTCTCTTCTCCTGGGTTTTGCTTTCCACAGTTTCTTATGATCAACTCTGGTCCAAAAATATTAAATGGAAAATTGCAGAAATAAACAATTCCTAAATATGAAATATGAAATATCACACCATCCTGCTCCATTCCACCCAGGATGTGAATCATCTCATTTTTTTCTAATTTTTTTTTTTTGGTTCGTTTTTCAGTTATACATGATAATAGCATATACTATGACATAATTTAAAAAGCAAGGAATATAATTTATTCTAATTCAATCCCCAGGATTTCCCCATCCCCTCCGCTCCTTCTACTCCTTTTCTCTACTTTACTGATCTTTCTACCACTTACTTATAGTTGTTGTTTTTTAAATTAGTGTCTTGTAAATGTAGATGATGGTGAGACTCACTGTAGTGTATACATGTGAAAGTTAGGTCAGATTCATTCCACTGACTTTCCCTATCCCATCCCTCCTCTCTTCCTTTCATTCCCCTTTGTCTACTCCTCTGATCTTACTTCTATTTTTTGTTTTTATCCCCCCTCCCTACCATATTTTGGATTAGTTTCCACATATCAGAGAAAACATTCAACCTTTGGGTTTGGAGGATTGGCTTATTTCATCTCAGCATGATATTCTCTGGACCCATTCATCTATCAACAAATGCCATAATTTCATTTTTCTTTTTGGTTGAATAAAACTTCATTGTGTATATGTACCACATTTGCTTGATGCATTCATCTGTTGAAGGACACCTAAGTTAGCTCCATATATTACCTATTGTGATCTGTGCTGCCTTAAAAAGTGATATGAATATGACATTATAGTGTACTGATTTTATTTATTTATTTATTATTTTGGAGAGTACCAGGGATTTAACTCAGGGGCACTCGATCACTGAGCCACATCCCTAGCCCTATTTTGTATTTTATTTAGTGACAGGGTCTCACTGAGTTGCTAAGCACCTCACCGTTGCTGAGGCTGCCTTTGAACTTGTGATACTCCTGCCTCAGCCTCCTGAGCTGCTGGAATTACAGGCATACACCACAGTGCTTGGCTCTTAGTATGCTGATTTTAAATCTTTGGATATATACCAAGGAGTAGGATAGCTGGGTCATATGGTTGTTCCATTCCTAATTTTTTGAGGAATCTCCATACTGCTTTTCAGAATGATTGTACTAATTTGCAGATCCACCAGCAAAGTATGAGGACTCCCTTTTCCCCATATCCTCGCCAATACTAATTGTTCCTTGTATTCTTGATAATTGCCATTTTGACTGAAGAGAG